ATGGCAACCCAAGGGCAATTACTATTCATATGGGATTAATAAAAAATTCTAAATGTTTTCCAATTTTTTTCTTTGATGACATCAGCGCCATTAGGCAACAGTTTGGGCTGATCTTGCCTTCCAGCCTACCTAGTCTTGGTGGAGCCCACCTCCTGCACAGGCTGGATTTGCTTAGTGGAGTGGGTTTTTGTAGCCCAAAAGGCCTTTTGCCATGACAAAACAAACTGCTGGAAGTGCTTTTACTAGTGAACTACACCTTTTTTTAGTTTATAAAGTCTTGTATTTCTAACATTATTCATAAGAAATGAAATTTTCGTTCATGGTTATATTTTATGTACTATTTATTCTTGATAGCACTTAAATATTGCAATGATTTAACAATTTTAACATAATACTTTATTTATTTTATGATTAAAATAATTTTTAGGTGTGAAGGTTAGAAAACATATTAAACACAAGAACTATATAAGTGAAAGTGAAAATGAAATTGCTTTTCTTTTTACCAAACACTTGAATACAAAAATAATTTCAATGTATACCCTTTTTAGTCATTAGACACAACTCACAACACTTTTACACCAAATTTACCAAACACTCATAAACTGATTCTTGTACCAACAACACTTTCAACAAAAAATTTATCAAATGCCAAACTATTTTCTCTCACAGCAAATTTGACAGTAATTATTTTCACATCACAACAATGCCAAACTGGCCTTTAATGTAGTAATTCAATTCTACCGTCGATACCATTGGGAAATGTACATGCACCTTGCTTTATGGTAGAAACCTTTTGAAATTTTCGTACTTTACTAATCCGTAATCAGATGATGAGGAATATTGATGATGAATTGAATTGAGGAGGAGTCAGAATCCAAATTCCATTGAAGTTGTTTACTAAATTATTTGGATTCGGGGTTGGAATTGTACTGATTCCATATAAGTTGTTTACTAAATTCCCCTGAATTAGAATTGAAACCAATTTAATGACTAAAAATAAATTATTTTATATACAATTTTTTAATTAAAAAAATGGAAAAAAATGTAAAAGTCTTTTTTAATAGATTCTTGTTGGTTACAACCTTTGGAATTATTCTTCTTTTTTCGTTTTAATTTGGAATTTTGAAAAGTGTGTGCGGATATAATGGGTAGAAAAATAAATTCTCAATGGGTTGGTTCTCTAACATTCAGAATATAACGTCCTACTCAAGAGTCCAATTCCTCCAAAATCAGGAGTTGAATTCCTGATTTTGTGTGAGCCCCACTTCTTATTTGAGTGACGTAAATGCAAGAATCATTTGTAATTGGAATTCAATTCTGATTACGGACTAGTAAACACATCGTTAATGCTCTTCATTCATTTGAGCATATCAACCACCAAAAATACGTTAATGTGGAATATTAATTACCCACGTTAATGCTCTTCATTCATTTGAGCATATCAACCACCAAAAATACGTTAATGTGGAATATTAATTACCCAGTTTTATCTTCAATGCACCAGCCACCAATTTGCATTTCTCCAAGTTAAATGCATTTGCTAATAACTCTTGGGAGTTTGGACAGCTACTCCATCATGGGCTGGACCCATGGCACGCCAACAGATTGTGGGTGCTATGACTTGTTTATGTGTGTGTGTGAGAGAGAGAGAGGGTCGGGAAAGCAGAGTTGACTTTGTACAAAGCTAATAACAGTAAGTAAATATCTCTAGAATAAATACAGTGGTCTGCATATAGGAAAGAATATGAGATTGCTTCTGTCAAGAGCAATCTCCTTTGATAGATGGAGAAATATCTGGTGATGGCAGAATTATAGGAGAAGACTTCGTGGTGTTTTCTTTGTTCAGGAGACTTCTGTCTTCATACATCGCCTGTAATGACTCCGGTGGCTGGGTTTGGTGATGGCTAGAGGTGAAGGTGGGGTTGGGATTAATGGTGGGTGGGTTTTTTTGTTGTTACTGTTTTAATTTTTATGTTTTTATTCTTTTAGATTTTTAATTTTAATTTTTTAATTAATTTAAAAAATAATTTTTTTTATTAATTTTTAATCCATGTGTAGTCCACTTCAGCACAAAAATGCCAAGTTGGACAAGTCACTGTTGAAATAAAAAATTCATCATCAGCAAACTAAATTCTGGCCCAAGTTTAAAGAAGTTGGGCTCATAACTAAAATGGTCTTGTGGATTTATTGCTAAATTAGTTTAGGCCCATAAAGGGTTCTCGCTCTGTTACTGGCGGTATGATAGCCCTCCCAAAAGATCTCTGTATGCAATCAAATGAAGAAAAAAATTGCACCAAAGCATCAGACCGTCGTTACCAAGAGACCAGAAGGGAGCAGAGAATTCAAAATTTTCTTTGGCCCAAAAAAAAAAAAATACAGTCAAGCCTTCAAGGAAATGATGAAAATAAAATCACAGAGATCACAAAAGAGAAAAGAGTTTATCTTCCTTTTCTCTCGACACCAAAAACAAAGGTATACGACACACGGCCTCCGTCGTACACAGGGACTGCAGATTAATGGTTCAGGCAAAAAAAGCAAAAGGGAAAAATAGCTCACCAATTTCAGGCTAAGAAGCCTCCTCCTCTGTTGCTGCTGCTGAAGAACCCAAGAGCAGCATAAGCCAAAACAAAAAAGCCCAAAAGTCGAAGAAGAAGCCCCGGGAGCTGAAGGAGAAACTAGCAAAAAGAAGAAGGAAAAAATAAAACGTAGAAGCTCACAGAGAAGGAAAGTGACGAAAAGCAAAGGAGAGGAAAGGAAACCAAAATGAATAAAAGTAACCAGCCAAAGACCAAAAAAGAGTTGAAACCTGGGATGACTTTCAATAGTTAGTGAACTATACGGTCTACTCTGACAGAAGGAAAAGACTTACCTTGCTTTGACTTCTCTTTGGTTTTCTCAAACTCAAAGCTCTGAATTGATTATGGCTAATGGATAGCTGAAGAGATATATAGTTTGGTCTAGTTTGAGTTTAAATTTGAACTACTCCAGATAAAGAGGGGAGTGACTCAGTTTGGATTGATCTCTACTACTCCAAATAGATATCAGTTTCAAATGGCAGCTGGCTCTCAAAGCCTTTCTGATATGGATATTTTGTTTATGGGCCAATTAATAGAATTGTCAAGGCCTGGAAACAGATTGATGGGTTGACAAAACAAAAGGCTGGGCTCTAACGAGGACTTCTAAATGAGCACACTATATGAGGATCCATTTCAGCCATCCGATCTGATCGCAACGGCTGTAGAGAAAAAGCAAGCTTACTAAGTAAATGGGTAGGCTGCTCTATCTGCTGGTCCAATCAAAAGCTTTTCTTCTTTTTTATTCCCATAGCTGAAGACACGCACAGGCATGATGTCTCCCACTTTTTTATTTATTCTTTATGCCCTTTTTTTCCTTCGTTGATGCTTCTGGTCCACTTTTTCTTCTGTATTTTTTTCATATCAAATTCCCTTTGGTCTGCTGTGTTTCATTTCCTCCTCTTTGCTGTAGTTTCATCTCAAAACGACACCGTCTAGGACCAGGTCGCTTAACTTTTTTTATTATTTATTATCATGGCCTTTTGGACAAGTTTTTGTTAATTCCCGAAATATGCATATAACAATCTAATAAATATGTTGCTCATAACTTTTTTTTTTATAAACATGTATGTAACTTTTATTACATTTTCATTCATTTATACGGGTCTTCTATATGTGAAAAATTGTGAGCTTATATATGTTGACTCCCGGAGAGCAAATTTCTGGATCCGTCCCTAATTGTATACATGGAAAATTGTAAGCAACTTTTTGGACTTGGCATACGAAGTATTCGGGTAACAAATAGGTAGGAATTTTTCCCTTTTATTTCCATTTTCGAACGATTTTACAACAAAATATTATTAAACTATAACAAATGAGACACGTGTCAGTGCATGAAAACTGTATCCTTCTATCCACCTCCACGGCTCAGCATGGGACGCCGCCACCTCGCATCTCCTTCAATTATTTATTTGTTTACACTTAAAATTTTATTTCAAAATCAATAATAATTCAAACAAATCCCAAAAAAAATTGCCGGCCTCGGTACGACATTTCCTACGATCACGTACTTCAAATTTCACATTTCCATTTAAATTTTGATGCGGAATTTATGTGATCAAACAAACACATTTTAGGGTTTACAAAGTCTACTAGTATATTCATTTGCATCATTCACATTTAGGGATGAGCCCCTAAACCCCTAATTCTAATTTTTACACTTTAAAATTTATTACCCATTAGGGTCAATAATAATTTGCAAAGTGTTAGGGTTTAGGGTTTACAAGGTGGTTGGAAAAAAAAATATTTCCTGCACTAACTTTCTTTCCCGCTCATGCAAGGTTAGGAGCGGCATTTGACCACCTACTTTTCACAACCCCCTAAAACATAATTCAAAACTCTATTTCGAACGATCAAAATATGTTCACATAATCCATATAGTAAACGACATTAAAGATATGCTGTTGTTGTTGTTAGTTGTATCATTTCTCAAAGTTGCCATCTGTTATGGCTTGTTAGTTGTATCATTTCTCATAAGAAATTAAATACAAATAAGAAAAATACACCAAAAATCATGATTCTACATATTTGAATTAATGGAACTCATTGAATCAAAGAAATAAGAGTGTATGTGATAGAATGTTTTGATTTGTCTATTAACAAAGTTGAGTTTTTATCATTGTGCTTGTATTTTTGTAATACATAATCAAAGAAATAAGTGTATGTGATAGAATGTTTCAGTGTATTTTTCTGATTTTTAATTTTTTAATTATGAATTTTAGAAGTCAAATTGTAGGGAAATAATATGAAATAAAATAGATTGACATGTGGTAGCTTCTAAAGAGCACCCCTATCAGCGGTTCTCGTGTGTGGCCTTATAAGATGGTAACACGTGTCATGTTTTTGTAATTTATTGTGTTTTATCTTAAACAATTCTTAAACATGATTTCATATATTTAAATTAATGAGAATCACTTGATCAAAGAAACAAGAGTGTATGTGATAGAATGTTTTGATTTATCTATATACAAAGTTGAGTTTTTATTATTGATTTATATTTTTATAATTTAGAATTAGCATTTTGGAGCTTTAAAGAGAAGATAATATCACAAGATGTTCATTAGAATTTTCTGGGTATTTTTATGATTTTAAATTTATTTATTATGAATTTTAGAAATTAAATTATAGAGAAATAATATAACGGAAGCTAACGGACAGGGACCATTTTAATGCATAGAGGATAACCTTAAGACCATCTCCAACCCATTGGGTGGAAACTCAAATTTTGAGTTTAGCCTCTAAAAATCTTCTCCAACCCATGTATTTGGGAGGGTGAAAATTTGAGAAAACTCAAAACTGGACTGGAATTCCAGACTGATTTCCGCCTGGACTGATAAATTTGTGGGCCCCAAATCTACTTTAATTTAATTTTTTTATTTTTGCTGGAAGCCCACGTGATGGGCAATGCATGCTGGGCCCGCTGACAAGTGGGAAAATCTGATTTCCTTTTCCTTTATTAATAGCCAACGGCTACTTTTTCAACAAATATGTTATGCTTTCTTTTTTTTTAATATAAAAATATGTTGTACTTGTTTTTATTTTAAAGTGAAATTCTATTATGTTTTGGAATTTTAATTTTTTTAGGTTAAAATGTTTAGAAAATTAAATCACGAGTATTGAAACAAAAATAATGTCAAGAAAAATTAACAAGAAAAAAAATTTAAGGGTTAATCATTCTTAAACAATTTAATAAAGTTGCGGACTCAAATTATGAGTCTGCAAGGTTGGAGGAAAAAAAATTTTGAGTCCTAAAAATACATGAATAGTTGTATTTTGGTAGGTGAAAATTTGAGTTTAGCCCCAACATGGTTGGAGATGGTCTAAGGATCATTTGTGTCACAAAAAAAAGTTAGGGACCAAAGTGATAATTTCGCAAACCTCAGGGACCTTTTGTGATAAAAAAAACCTTTATAATTTTTTCCCCCAAATTTTTCGCGTGCCGCCCTTTTTTCACCAAATTTAAGTTTGGTGCGTCTTTTTTTTGGGGTCATATTCTATCTCCAATCTCTAATTCGCTCTCTCAGATCTCTTCATTCTCAAACTTTGCAAATTTCTCTCTCTCTCTCTCTCTCTCTCTCTCTCTCTCTCACATCAAATCCCATCGAAACCCTCCCCCTCTTTCTGTGGCTTCTTCTCTGTCTCCCTCTCTCACAATCTATGGCTTCTCTCTCACCGGAACATTCAGGAGCTTCAACTCCTCATCAGCTACAAGACAATTGCTCGAGGCCAATGGCTTCGAAGGTGAAGGCTGCGTGACAATTCCTAAAGTGCGATTTTGTAAAGCTCTAACCTCCATGCTTGATACAAAGTTTTGGTATCAGTTTAGGATTGATTTGAATTCTAGATGTCTGTAGCTTGCTTTGATTGAATTTGGGTTCTAGTTGTGCGTTAGTATTTAGAATTTTTATTTTTGTTTTATTTTCAGAGAGTAATTACGATTTTGTGAAAATTTCTCATCCTGGTTATTATTTGGTTATTATCAGTAGCTTAAGAATACAACACTCCAAACTTAATTTTCTTTGGTGGGCACTTCAATCATCGTTTTGTACTGGTTGGGCATGTGTGCTGGAATTTTAGTTCTAGCTTGAAATTTTAATTTGATATCTTATTCCCTGACATTTTATTCTTTGATGCAGCTCTTAATAAAGATGAGTTACTTCAAATGGTGAGATTTGGTGCTGAAATGGTGTTGCTCATATGCTTGCACAATTGTCTAAGGCCTTCGAGATAAATTTTATGGCTTAATATCTATGTTTGCACCAAAGCAGGTGGAACTTTCAAGAGAGTGTTTTTGATTGATCATATCTTTTAGTAGCTTTGATTGCATCTCTTTTTGCACCATGTAGAGTTTAATTAGCTTTGGTTATGTTTCAGAAATGTATCAAATATCCCTTTTCAGTTTCTGTTTTCACATAATCTGTTTTCACATAATCACCATCCCTGTTTTTCAAGTATTTCATGTTCTGTTATTGACTTCAAGCGTATAATATTGCATTTCGTGTTCTGTTATTTCATGTTTTGTTCACCAAAAGTACTTAAGCCATTGCTTCTACTGTTTCTATCAGAGCTGCCGAACTTGGTATTAATCTTGCTATTGCAGATATTGTCATTCTTTATGACAGTGATAGGTATTAATCGTGCACTGAGATGATACATTTCCAGCTATGCATTGATAGCTCTGGTTGCCCTGCAAATTTGGTAATTATTATAAATGAAGTTGGGGATGAAATTGATGATATGTTTATATTTTTTAAATGAAGTGAAAAGATTGGTCATACAGGTATTAATCGTGCACTGAGATGATACATTTCCAGCTATGCATTGATGGCTTTGGTTGCCCTGCAAATTTGGTAATTATTGTTGGAAATCCCTCCTTAGTGGAGGAATAGTTTTTGTCTTAATGATGATGCTTTTGGTAGGAGATAAGGTGCAATGATGGGTGAGGTTCTTTGACCAACATTATTGTTTCCTTGGACATGCGGCTGGTTACTTTGCATGCACGTGGGCTGTTTTTTGGAGTTGAAAAATCAGCCATTCTTTTATGGTTTATAAAAGGGAAGGGTGCATGCATGTGGTATTTAAATTTTTTTTTTTTAACTTGCTAAACAGAGTATGAGAAGAGTATCAGAAGAAAGGTTTAGAGTATCACAGAATCATCATCCCTGTTTTTCTTAATTTTTTGCTGGCTCATCTGTTTTCACAGAAATGTATCATTTGCTTGTGTTATGTTGCTGGCTCATCTGTTTGGTTTTTTAATTTTTTTTAAACTTACTAAACATAGTATCAGAAGAAAGGTTTAGAGTATCACAAGAAATGTTTCTGGTTTCAATTATGTGTCCTTTGTATTACTTACAACATCTCTCTCTCTCTCTCTCTCTCTCTCTCTCACAGATAGAAACCAGAAAGACGCTTTTTTATTTGGGTGAAAACCCTAACTGGAAAGTCCATCACTCTTGAGGTTGAGACCATATTGTCATACTGTAGGATACAAGAAAGGAAAGATCCAGAGGTACTGTTTCTCTCTCTTCCTCTTTCTCTTCCTCACTCTTTGCTGTGGAAGATACTTTGAATCGAGAAACTTGAAAGATAGCAATTCACGTTGCTGCCCCAATTTGATTAGGACGAAAGTATGGATGATTCTGATGTTGCTGATGATGATATCTTTAGTATTTAATTGTTTTTGGTTGTATAGAAAACAAAGACGAAAAATTTGATTTTGAATGATTTAGGTGATTATTTCATAGGGGTCAATGCTAAGTGATTATCTTTTAGTCTTGAATATGGGTGATCTGACAAGACATATTGAATTTCTAT